GGGGCTTACTGAATGTCAAAACCAATAGATCTCAAACTTTTTTTCTGGCGTGCCTCCCTTCAGGAGTCAGAAAAAGTTAACACCCCACTGTTCCTCATCAAATGTTAACAATGAAAAAGTATTAAAACTTATTTAGTGAAATGTCAGCACAGCATCTGCAACCTCTTGTTTTGGAAAAAACTCTGTGTAAACCATCCTGATATCAAAATAAAGTTAACATATAAGTGAGCCTTAATCACATCACAGGTGTAAGTATCACAACAGACGTCATTGTGTCAAAGTAACTGAGGATGGAACACAGATTTTTTTCTTGGCCTAATTTTTTGTGTGTCTTTTACAGCATGAACCTGTGCTGCAGTAGATCAAAAACTGAAGAAAACCATGAGTCAACAGATGGACATTACCCGTGGAAAGATCAATGCTGCTGAAGCGAAACAGAGCAAAGTTACAGAGGTTTGATTTTGCAAATTAAAAAAAATTGGCACCATCTGTGAGAGCTGATATTTCTTCAGCATTGAAAAGCAGAAATTTGGCTTTCTTGCTGGAGGTCAATTTCGCAAAACAAATCAATAAACATACTCTAAAAAATTATGGACTGGTGCGTAATGCGTCCGCGCGTAAAGAATCAAATAAGGCAGAAAGTAGGAATTTATGACAGGAAACTGCTGTTGAAACACACTGCGAAATGGAGCTGTGCAGGAAATGTGATTGCATCAAAGTGGATTTTTTTGGTAACAATACAGCACAGGTAAGACAGAACTGATGCTAATGTTTGTCACACTTGAAGCAAAATTTTGGTCTCCTTTTGCTGCTGGCTTAGTGAATTTTTGGTTGGGTCGTGATGAAACTTGCACTTTTGGACTCGGTGAGATCTGTGCTTTCAACAGAGACATTGTCCGTGTACATGCTGTCAGATTTGTTGTTTTAGCTGTGTTTGGTGGTCATGGAAATGGTTTTGTGAGCTTTAGCTAAGATTCTGATATTTCAGTGATGCCACACATCTATATTTGAATAACAGATCTGGCAGCACAGCCTGTGAAACTAGCTGTTGCTTTCAGTATCAGTTTCAGATGAAAACGCCGTTTTCAAATTTATCTGGGCTGGTGTGGATGTTGTCTCAGTGGGGGTTTTTGAAACCCACGTTGAAGTGTAAAACCTCAGGGGAAGTGCTATTTTAAAAGTTTATTCAGAGGTACAGTAGGGCTCAAGTGTGTTTTTTTTTTTATAGTTTAGCAACAGGTCAGGCTGGCATCCGGTACTCAGTGAATGATCAGCACAGCTCCTCAATGTGTGCTGATAACTCTACTTCTGCCTTTTTCAGGAGATGTTTAAAAGAAAGCCTACACACAACACACCGGCATGTAGATGACAGTAAGTGTTCATTTGCATGAGTCGGTGAGCTTTGTGTACCCTCAGGGTTACTTTTTTGCAAAATGTGTGTCTAAACAAATGTGCAGTTGGTTATAGCAACAGAGATAACAGTTTGTTTGAGTAGCCTTGTCAAGAATCTGAAACAGAGTTTTTGCCACTGCACAGAGCATAATCGGTAACCTGAGGGAAACTGATGATGCCAAAGCACAGGAGTTCCAAAATGAGACAAAATGTATCCAACAACAACACAGAGTGAGGGCGTGCCAGATGCACATTTCCATCGTGTTCAGTAATGTGTAAAAAATGTCATGCTTACAGCCCCGAATAAACATAATTCAGGTGTTACTTGAAAACGTTACTGCCTGCAGGCCCCAGTTCTCCCACCACTTCATCCCACCTCTCCTACTGCTGCCCCCCAGCCATTCCCGTACAAGCTGCACAGATGGTACAGAGCTCCTGTCGAGTGAGCTCGCTGATTGCCTGCAGGATCTCTGCCTTCCCGCTCCTCACTCTCGTCTTGCAGTGAACCAACTGTGTTTATACCGCAATCTGAAATGGTTACACCCATTGTCAAGTCTTTGACAAAAAGGTCTCAGTGGGAACAAGCAGAATCAAAACAAAACTTGGCTGAAGATCCACATCGACGACGATCCCCACCAAACACACAGAAAGCCACACTTGGAAGATGAGATGCTATGGGCCAATAAAAAATGCTGTAATACACCAGTTTCAGTCCAAGAGGGATCTCGTGGTGTTTCAAAATCTGATCAGCAGGGGAAAAAAAAGAAATGTCATGCACTCTGGATCTTCATTGCGCAACTGCTGTTTTTCCTCGAGTTTATGGGTTTAGAGCAATGCTTTCACTTTTACTTTTCGTGTTTTGATTCAGCCATCTTGCGTTTCATTTGCCTTCTACTTTAAAATGTCAAAGGATATGCTCAGTGAAAACCAACTAAACATTAAAATCGAGTTAAAAGTTAGTGAAGGCCACAGTACAAAAGCAATAATCCGCATCACAGATAAGCACACTGGGAACTGCCTTTTACCTTTAAAGACATACAATAAGAAAACAATATTTTGGCTTTTCTTCCCCCCAAAAAATGAAATAAGCCAATTATTTCCCAGGGAACCACCGATTTATCGTTAAAGACATGAGACACTTATCTTACAGTGAGATACCAGGACGCCAAGCAGAAGCTAATTGTCACCAAATTTACAGTAATCACCAACTAGATTTCAGCAGAAACGCCTCTTACAATAAACTGTTTACCACAAAGGACATGACGGATCATTCTGAGGAGCTGTGCCTAATCAGCAGAGGCTCCGTCCACCCTTGTTAACATTCATGTGGGAAGCAGTGAAAGGCCAGAAAAGAAGAACAGAAACATAGGAAAAAGAGCACAGAAGAGGAAGAAAAGTCTGCTGCAGAGGATGCCAGAAATTCTTGGTATTGCAACATCCCCACCACAATTACAGAGCAAAAACTTATGATTAAGTAAGAAATGGGACTGATTTGAATAAGGAATAAAGACAGTTTGGTTTCGATCTGCACTGAAACTTCTACTACCACAAATTGAGATCACGCATAGTCACGACTGCAAAAAAACCAAACAAAAAACACTTAAGTGAAAGTGATCACTCACCTGTTTGCTCTTGGGGTGAAAATTGATCTTTAGCAGCTTGACTGCAGTCTGATGCAAGAAGTGTGGGTCCAGCACTCTAACTTTACTGGCATCACCCAACCAAATTTGAGGAGGGGGCTTCCAAAAGCCTTTCCTGACCTGGCAAAGACAAAAAAAACAGACAAGGTGTTTACAGACTGAGAGTGAAAACGGCCACGAATTGCCCTTTATTTGGCAGAATGGATGCATGCAAGGAGAGACGCATGTAAATCTCCCTCATGTTTGGAGGACACTAAATCGATGTGCAAATTAGCGGGTAATGACCCTGCAACTATTAGCAGCAGGAGGCCGGAGGTGCCGTGGGATACGGAGTGAACGATGCCTGCAATGGAAACAACATTTAACTCTGGAGAGTGCTGGCACTGCTCAAGTAGAACCTCTTAAGTAATTGTTCCTGATATGCAAGACAGACAAGCTTGAAAAGTAAAGAGAATGTGTTCAGTTGAGGCAGAGAGAGGAAAGAACGAAAGAAAGGGAGATGACTGTGTGTGCGTAAGAGAGTCTGTGTTTGCATGTGGGAGAGTGCATTCTCACACACATCCAGTACCCTCTTCTCATTGTAGAGGATCTCTTTGAGCCACCGTAGATCTTGCTGTTTGAAAGGCACCAGGACCATAAGGGTGTCAGGCTCATTGTCCAGTCCAGGGTTGTAGAAAGCTGACTCAGGGTAGAAGAACCTCATGGTGGTCTTGTTCCCCACGTCTTCCTCATAGCCTCTTACCGGGGCATCATTCAACCTGAGGCAGGAATAAAATATGTAAAGAAATTTAAAAAAGGATTTTCAGAGCTGTTTTAGTCAGGATTTCAATTTTTGCAATTAGAAAAAAGTTGATGTAAATGAGCATTGAATAACCATTATTCAGTGGATCGTGAAATACTGCACTCCCCACCTGCAGCTAGCCTCTCAGAGCTTCAACCGATTCAGTTTTTACATAAATGATTTAAGGTCTGATCGCATGCTTAAAGACACTGGAGGTAACATGACCTCGGCCTTGAGCATAGTTTAGGTAAAGATCCATTAGGTGATCTTTGCATGCAATGTTCACTGAAATCTGATAATACTCTAAGAGGAGTAACAATTCTTGTAAATCACATAAGCTCATGGGTCCTTCAGCCCGAAGTTGACAATTCTTGATTTCTTGTGTTTTTGCAGATTTTTCACACTTACATGTTGCAGATCAATAAACTAATTTTATCTATTAGACACGGACAACCTGAATAAGTACATGTGGCAGAGTTGTGGTCCCTGGCTGAGCTGCAGGGGAGGGGTGGTGCAATGAACTCAAGTATGCATATGTTTTTTTACAGAACTTTATGCTGTTGCACAAACTCAACAGCTACATCCTTTATTGCACAGATAGTCCATGACCATCTCTTTAGTTTCTGACGCATTAATGTGCAACAAGGACAACTTGCAACACTCTTTTTCTGGTCAAGGTTTACTCAGCAGAGATGCAATCACTGTAAAAATAAAACTGGAGAAAACGCACTTCTGTGATGGCAAATAAAACACGATTTACCAACATGTCACACCGCAATCAGTCTTATGAATACTAAGAAGTTGCAGCAGCATTAATTTTGGTGTATGTGTAAAGTTGCACCCAGATATGTCGTCTACTGACAGATATTATCTATCACACGATTAAGAGCTGGGGGGGAAAAATTAATAAAAGTTAAAAAGTTGCCTCAGAACAGGATGACTAACTCACACTACGCTGTACACAGCCTGAAATTCGAAACCTTGTTCACTCTGTGAAATAAAAAAACATCTGTGTTTCATCACTTAACAAAAAAATACAATATAACTCTATAGTTGACAAATTCAATAGCACAGACTGAGAACATTAAATTATTAGCAAGCACTTTGAGAACTTAATTCTCAACAGGCTCTTAAGAAGTCAAGCAGTGTTTCCATGGCAGGAAAAAAGCCAGATGACGTCAAAATCTCAGGCATGCATTGAATTCTGAGTGTCAATAACCTGACTTGGCTGGAAAATAATTAGAAGAGAGCGAGAGACGTGAGGGGAGGGAAAGAGGGGGGTTGGGGGGGGGGGGTGCATTGCTGCCAGGCCTAATTCTGGCTGCTTGAAAGAGGCTTAAAAAAACTCAGAATGCGGTCGCTCATTCCAAGGCTGTAAAGTCAGATCTGCTAGATGCCTTTGTCCCTGAGTAAACTCAATGCTTTCTTTTCTGCTTTTAAAGAACCTGATTTGACCCAAACTTAGCCTGAGAGGACGGCTCTGTGTCAGAGTCACATGCTTATACAGTCTACAGCTAAGTGAATTAAACCCTATTTAGAGAGGCTGAGGGTAAAAGAAATCAACACATTCTCTTTTATAAATGCAATAGCAATGAGTCCTAACTGCCTTGAAACATGGAAGTTTAACTGCTCTCCTTTTAAATCAACCTTGGACATGATTTTTTCTGATTGGCTGTGCTTGATAAACAGAAGGGCAGAACAGCAGGTTGGTTGGGTTTCAATCCCTACAACAAAAAGTGTAGATGACTTCACTAATGATATCGCCAACAGCTCTATCCCTCAACCTGCTTGTACATGCACCTATATTTGAAAGTCCTACATCCCTTAATTCACGAGTTATTGCGCTCGCAAACTTGGGCATCCACCCAACCTGGCTGTCCACCAGGCGAGGTGATGACATTACCCCAAGCCTTTCAGGCTGAGGGGCTGAAGACTGTCAGCAATCAACTATTTAGAGCAGTCTGAAGTCTGAGCTTCTGGCTTAAAGACATTTAAGCCATATACTGACTTCATTGTTTGCAACTTTGAACATTTTAAATCCAAGCATCCATCTAAATAATTGGATTTAAATATATGGCAGACACTTTCAAACACACTTTAACACCACTATTATTGCACAGTAGAGCATATCATTTCATTTTAATACCATAATCAGGAAAAATGATTTCACTGTTGTGTGGAGTATGATTATTGCTTACCGAATGACCACATCGTATTTATTGATGATGCTTCCCAGGGAGCTGTTTTTAATGGCAAAGCCATTACCTATGACTACACAAGTTCTGCACTCAAGGCTGTGGAGAAAAACAACACAGGTTCACATTATGAATTAAATGTGGCAAATTTGTCTTTATCAAGGTTTCTCATCGGTCTTAAAATGAACATGTTTTGTTCAGTTACAAACAAAATGGCTCTCTGGAAGCAAAAACCTATCATCACTACTGGAACAGCACGCGAGGACATAAGGAACAGTTATAGGGAACAGTTACAGAGAGCGTTTTCACAGAACTCTTTGCAACCATGTTAAAAATCAAGTACAAGGCCACAGTTAGCATGTTAAACGTTAAAGTTCGTGACAGCACAATTAAAAAAAGATGGAACAAGTGTGGCTTGTTTGGAACGTTTGCCAGGAGAAGGCCTCGTCTTTCTAAAAAGAACGTGGCAGCACAGCTTAGGTTTGCAAAGCTGCATTTAAACAACCACAGGAGCTCTGGAACAATCCTATGGGCAGACGAGAACAACGTGGAGATGTTTGGCCATAATGCAGAGTGCTACATTTGGCAAAAACCAGTGCCTGCAAACCTCCATGTTGTAAAGAAAAATGGACCAAAATTCCTCCACAACGATGTGACAGATTTCAAGTTATTGCTGCTAAAGGCGGCGCCACAAGCTGTTGAATCATAGGGTGTTTTTCACAGGACTGCATAGTGTGTATTTGTTGGCACCGATCTTGGCCTACTCTATTTTGAACATGATGGCTTGAATTGGTAAACAGAGCAGGATACTGAAAATTTTTTAAATAGTTAAGAATATTTAGAATACCAATTAGAAAAGTGCAGATTAATATTCTTGTAAATAAATAAATTGTAAGATGGTCTAAAAAAGCAAATCGTTAACCATGATTGCAATGTTAAACTAATTCGCTTTACTACTGTTGGCCAAGTTTGCTAAAGTGCGCTCAAACTTACTTTTCAATGTTGGCTGGCACGTGATAATTTGTAGTTACAGCAAGCACTTTCAGTAGCAGCAGCTCTGGGATGAAAAGTGAGAAATGGAGAAGTTCAAAAGTTCACGCCGAACACAGAGCTTGAATTGGTGAAAAAGCTACAGTCCTGGGTTTCAGCTGTATTAACAGTTTAAGATGTCATCTATTTAATCCCCAGTCTTGGTCCCAGTCAAAATGAGACAAATTTGCTAAAAGTGAGTGGGAAGAGTGGGGATTAATTTAAAATGCAAGGTCAACATACCACTGCCCTTAATGCCATAAGGTAATGCCAGATCTGACAGATGCTGCCGCCAAAAGAAATCCTCCATTTTCATAAAGAGCTGCGTCCGTCTGCTAATGCTGCATGAGAAATGTCAAAGCAGGGTTTATAAGATGATACCACACAGTTTCAGTGTACAGATGAGTTATGCTGCCAGAGGCTTTGTGGCCGGGAGAGCAAAGAAAACTGCTTCAAGTTTTTTGTCTAAAATAATCAACCCACACAATAGACAATACCATATGTTCTGCCAAGCAGTACAGTGTTCAAGCTAGCACATAAAAAAGAAAAAAAACTGCTTTGTAATCTTAACTGATGCACTAGCGTTACCAAATGTTCTGGTACCCATTAAGCAGGTAAGCCAGCCTCGTTATAAGAAAATCACCTATTTATATGATGCCATTCAATAGCAATTTCCTTCATTAAAATTCTCCGCTGACATTCCCTCGCCATGGAGAGGGGAAAGAAAACAATAATGCTCACAGAGCCTGTGGAGTGAGACAAATGTGGCAGGTTGTAATATGTGAAACAGTTGCTCTTCTGTGCTCACTCACTCCAGCTGTTTATAACCTACTGTCTTTGACAGTAAGTCTCTCAGGCATTTATTACTCTTGTGTGCCAGCTAGCCCTCTGTAGGAGATCAGGATAAATCTCCGGGCAGGGAGTCTAATTAGAGAAATGTCATTGTAACTGCCTCGCAGGCTTCCCTGTGACTGACTCATGTTAAAAATCCAACAACAGCGGACTGGTAACTCTGAACTGAACTGAACTCTTTTTCAGCTACACATCTTAACTGTTGCAAATGTTAAAGGGCAGGCGGTGGAAGGTCGACTGGGCTAAATAAATAAACAGTGACCTTGGATGAGGTTTGGCCAAACCACACATTCCCTTTTACTAATAGAGCAGAGCCAAGAATAAAGGTGAGTAAATATACAGGTCGATAAACTGATAAAGAGACTAAAAGATAGATAACTGTGAGCATGTTAGAGAATGTGAAACAGGGATTAGTTAACAAAACGGGCTAGACATTATCAAGTTATAAAAAAAATATGTATATGTCATGAAGACATTGTTAGCCAAAATTAGTTTTTCACATTAACTCCCCCTCTCTGGCTTTTTATCAAGACATTCCACTGGAATGACTGAAACTTACTGTAACCATTATTTAGATGGAAACTCTTTTTTTAAACATAACTCTTCTTCTCTGTAAAATATGCTTTTCTGTCATGACTGGTACAGAGCAGTCCAGTTTCAAGGAACTCGGCACTTTATGTTCAAATAAAAACACTGCTATACACCACTCCTTTAATAAGTCAGTTTCCCCAAAAAAAAAGAAAAAAAGAAAAAAGAACACACAGACATGCCATTACTCACTTAAAGTTAAGGCTCTCCCATTTCTTCTGGGTTAGCCAGCCACCACACAGCGACTTGCTACTGCTGGGAGACTTGCTGGTGCCTCCATAGCTGAAAGACAGTTGCCACAGATGGCATGAAAACTACTGCTGAATCAGTGAAAATGGAAAGTGCCAGTAATTTAGTCCAAAATGCTCAAAAAGTGCAAAAATTGCTATGTGTGAGGGTTTGGTTGACTAGCAGCTCAGACCACTTTGTGAATAGGCTGTCTTCTCAGATTTTAGTGACTCAGCGCTGGCCAGAAATCCTGCGAAATGGGTATTACTGTGATTCTGTGACTCAATACGAAAGAAAGAAAGAAAGAAAGAAAGAAAGAAAGAAAGAAAGAAAGAAAGAAAGAAAGAAAGAAAGAAAGAAAGAAAGAAAGAAAGAAAGAAAG